TATAATACATATACAAATAATAATTCTTATTTAAATCTTCGCTCGGGTGCGTTTTTTTTCATGGGTTAATTTTTTTTGCGCGGAACCTTGATTTTTATTCTAAAATAAATGTAGCCTAAGTTACTCCTTATAAGACCAGCTATCTATCCTTGAAAGTCTCTTCAAAATTCAAAAAGACAGACAAAATTTTTGAAACTTGTTTTTTTCTTATAAGTACCGTATGTATACTTTTATATGCATTTAGTAAATTAGTAATGACGTTTCGATTGGGTTGCACCAGCTGTGGGTACGGGCAGACTGGCGGTGTACGGCATCCCCTGTTAGAATCGGAGAAGTTTTCGCAGCATTCATAAAATTCACCTTCTAATGCAACACAGTTATTAGAAGATACGGCTATTTATGTCGCATATTTTGACGTTCTCTAGGGAACTAGGAAGGGAATCAAAACCTATACGGTACTTTCCGTTGAACTAGAAACATAAAGCTAGAAGCAATGTGATATAGAACAAATAAAGGAAAAACTCCAAAAACTGTAAATTTGTACTTCAGAAACAAAAACTTATTTTAATTTTTCTATGGAACCCTAATGTGCGAGTCAGACTCGCATTTATCGATTTTTTTAAATAATGAGTACTAATTACCCTTTGTTTTACTATTAATTAAACTCTAAAAGCAACAGGTATAAAGTTATCGTATTTTCTTTGAACTCTTTAAAACCTATTACTGAAGCAGTACGAAGGTGCAGGAAGTAATTAAAAGTTTACTGAAAGTGATTTTCTTAACAATTAGAACTTGAATCACAGGTAAAAATTAAAACTTAGACTTTTAATTATATAAATATTGTTTGTTATTTTTTATGGTAATACATACATTTTAATGAAAATGCTTTAGAATTTAGTCAAAAAAATACTTTGTAGATCTTATACGTAATACGTGTAAATGAAATTGAAGTGTCTGTTTGTAATTTCAAAATAACTATGTTTTCTTAAGTACATACGTAGAGTTAATACAATACCAGTACGTCGCTAGTACTTATATACTAATATTATAAAAAGGTAAAGTTTATGAGTTTGTGAGATTGTGATTTTGTGATGTTGTAGGGGGTAATCTCTGGATCTACTGAACCGATTTAGATGAAATTTGGTAAGAAACCCTAAAAAAAGGGGCTACAAACTTAAGATTAACCTTCCTATGCGAAAAAATTGTCTTGGATATTTCTGACTACAATTTCGATAAATTATATAATCGGCATTAAAATTCAGAATTGAGTAGCTCGATGGTGCCAATAGTTTTATAAAAAATTTATAAAAAATTGTCTGGCAATGATAAAATAAATTCTTATATTATAGTAAATAGCTTTTTGAGCAAGCAATTTATTGAGTGGATCCACAAATTGAAGTTCATAAAGCTGTAGTTTTACGTCTTCATACTACGCTTCTATACGTGTATGAACATAAAATAAGAGTCATGTTTCGTAGCGTTAAAGTACCACACGGACAAGTCGTTACGACTATCTACATATCGTCGCCTCAGTGCTTATTTCAAAGTCCCACCGACCGACTTACCGAAATAGTTTTTAATATAGAATTATTTATTTTTAAATGTAAATTCTAAAATTCTATTGTTATGAAATACACATTTTAATTTTAGTTTAGTGCAATTAGGTTTATACCTCTGAACTAGCTATAATGAATGGACTTGGCTGATTTTGTATTTTTTGAATTTCTTATATACTAAAAACTAAAAAGTTTACCTTTTGAAATCTTTCGCTTATGGTTTTTTAAGGATTGTCCCATGAAAATGATGTTACTTCTAAGTTCTGGTATAGTACATTCCTTATACAGCTATATTTATTTTTTCTTTGGAGAATAACTCAGTTTCTATATAAAATATAGTGTAGTGTATTGACCGAATATACCAATAGCATTATGTATAATAATCAGACTATTATTTTAAATGCAAATGCGAATTTGTTTCTGTATTTGTTACCACAGATCATATAATACTATACTTGTTACTAAATTTAAAGTTAAAACTTAATAATATCATAACTTGAATAGAATTAATAACATATTCCGAGAGCTCGCGACGAATTTTAAGAAGGTCCTTTTGGCAAGTTGAAATTGTGAAAAAATATAATTTCGTGAATTGGCGAGTCCAGTCCCGCGAGTCTGGTATAGCTTTAGCGGTTATTTCGCTACTGCGCAGTATATAACATTTGCAAAAAAAATATCCAAAAAAACATATTTTTGGCAACTTGATTTTTGTTTAATCCTTTAATTTAGCTTTCATATAATTCAAACAAATAAAATAAATATTTGAGGGTGCTCCCGTACAACAAACGTGATTTTTTTGCTATTTTTATAGATAATGGTACGAAACCCTTCATACGCGAGTCCTAAATTAAAAGATTAAACAATAATCGAGTTGCCAAAAATATATTTGCCAATTGTATTGTGTATTGTGCAAGCGTAATTATTGTTTTATACATTTTTAATTAAGTCTCAATTTTAAGAAAAAAGTAAAAACTTGCCAAATGCGAGTCGGACTCATAATATAGTAAACCTCATGTGTGCTTCTTAGACGAAAATGATTTATTTAGATGAAATTTTGTACACAGACTATATCTCGGGATCCGTTAGCCCTGTACCTGGAGTATGTGGCACCTAAAGTTATATATGTATTTTTTCGACAATATAAATAATCTTATTACTTAATATTACACCGTGTATTATCGAATTAATAAAATATTGTTACTGTTCATAAAGAAAAGTTATACCTACATATATATGTATTTACGAAAAATTTCAGTAAACAAGTAATACTTGCTGGCCTGAAAAAGTAAAAGACAAATTGTCGAGAGCCCTTCACTCACCGAAACATATACATACATACTCAGCGAACACTGGACGGTACTTGAGAGGGAAATGACTAGAATATCCACTACTATGGGTTTTCTTTTTTGAGTTTATTGTACATTTTCGCTAAGTATTAATGCAAAAGTGTGTCTGATGGCTAGTTCTTTTTTCACTCAGCAATTCTCATTCTCAGATATAATAGTCAAAAATACAGTCGAATTGAGAACCTCCTCCTTTTTGAAGTTGGTTGAAAACTGATATTATACATAACAAAAATAGTTTTTACTAAAAAAAGTACACCGATTTCAAAATCACAACAAGTTTTTTCTATCCTTTGAAATGGAGTTCATTACAAAAAATACAGGCAAATTGAGTACATTTTTTTTTCACGTCCATCAAAGATTTTTTAACCGCCTTTTAATTAGACTTCAAATAGAGTCAAGCAAATGTTAGTGTCCTTTAAAGTAGCATACGTATTATCCTACTAATACGAGTATTATAAACGCGAAAGTTTGTAAGAATGTATGTACAGATGTATGTTTGTTACTCTTTCAAGCAAAAACTACTGAATGGATTTGGATGAAACTTTACAATAATATAGCTCATACATCAGAATAACACAGACTACTTTTTATCACGGAAAAAATGTATGGTTCCCATGTAATAGATTTCTTTTTGTTGTTCTAGAGCCGAATCCGAGCGAAGCGAGGGTGAGCCGCTAGTATCAAGATATAACGATTTCGTATTAGCGACTCACCTTCTCTTCACTTTGGTGAGCCCTTAGATTCCTAACAGTCCATACCTATGTCTATACATTAGTATAGGTCATAGTTTATCTGTGTACTAAGTTTCATCTAAATCCATAGAGCTGTTTCAGCGTGATAGAGTAACCAAAATACACACATACAAACTTTCACATTTACAATAAAAGTGATACAAACGTGTTTCGAGTTAGGGGCATAGTGTCGAGGGTCACTCAAGCGCTGAGTTATAAAACGACCGCTGGGCGCCATACAAACATACGAGTGCAGAATGAATGCTTAACAGGGGATTATTTTTTTCTTCAAGAGCGACAACTCAAAGAATACCTATATTGTCTAAAATTTGCTTCATCATTTCTTTGTGATACTGAATTGAGCAACAAAATCGGGGTTTAGCAACAAATTGTCAACTTTTAATTATAAAACATTTTTTACATATTGTTTTTATTGTCATATTAGCGACTCCCCCTCGCTTTGCTCGGGTTCGTCCCTAAGTACGTTTTAACGGTTAGTATAGAATATATAGACTACCAGCGACTCACTCTCGCTCCGCTCGGGTTCGTCCCTACTTAAGTTTTTACGTTTAGTATAGATTTCTCAGAAATCAGATATTTTTCCACAATAAAAAGTATCCTATATGTTGACCTATATAACCAGCTATCATTATACCAAATATCATAAAAATCCCTCCAGTGGTTTTTCCGTGATGCAGTAACAGACAGACAGACAAAAATTCTAAAAACTATAGATTCGGCCTCTGTATCGATAATAATGTTTATTTCAATAGGATTTCCCAAAAAATATTTAATGTACAGATTCGGCTTGGTTACAATTTTATTATATTGTAGAAGTTGAAAGATAGGAGAGTGAGGAAAACGTATAAAAGGCAGCGCCAGCGCCCGGCGCTCGCTTTTGCTGTTCGGCTGTCATCGGGTCAACATCTCGGCAACGTCATTCTGTCCGTCAGGTTTTTCGTTAGATTGTTACGTAATTGTTGTAATTGTTTTAGAGGTCTTACATTTTTAGTTTTCGTTTCATTTAATTTTGGTTTGTTAAAATTAATTGTTTTCAAAGTAAATTTGATTTGTAAATTGTTTTCTTGAGGGTAGTAATAAATTTGTATTAAAAAAAATAACTTCTGGTCTTATTTCTAAGATCAGAAGTGGGATAGGTCTCATTTAGCCCACTTCATTTGTTGTTTTACTGTTGTTGATTGATTTTCTTAGTTCTGATTTTTTGTTTCTTTGTTTACGTTCTATTTTCGCGAGTGTACAAGTTAGTTGCAATATTTGGTGGTGGTTAGTGAATACATAGGTATTTGTGTAGTGATTGTGTTTACTAATAGGTTTTGCGATTCTGTTTTTATTTCGATTTAGTTACAATGTCAGATCGTGAGCGTGATCGTAGTGCGAGCCGTCGCGGTAGTCGCAGCCCCAGTCATGAGCGTCGCAGTGACCGTGATCGGAGTGATAGTAGACGTCGTGAACGATCTCCTGACGAGAATACTCGGTTGAGGCTCGAAATGAGAACAATGATAGCTCGTCTTAGTGCGTTAGAAAATAAGTCTAGGGCTACATCTATTCCAGCGCGTTCGAGTGAGCACATGGCGGGTTCTAGTGTTCGTGATGTGTTAGTGTCAGAAAATGTGCACGATAGATCGCCATCGCGGCGCCGGCAAACACGATTGTTAGGGCGCAATATCTCGCGATCGCCTGATCGCACGGTTTCACGTAGTGTACGTCGTCCGTTGTCGCCGCGGTGTAGGTCAAGATCCCCTAATAAGTATACGACATCGCGGTCGCGTGACCACGTGTTGCCTACTCGAGAAGTTAGTCAACGCCGACGTTCTCGATCCAGATCGCCACGTCGTGGTAGCGAGGTGGATGCGTCGATGCATTCTACCATTACTGATCGTATTGTAGATGTGATTAATTCTATTAATAACGCGGGTAGATTTAGCCAACACTTTTACATTTCTAATTTCGATCCCGACCTACACAACATTGATGATTGGTGTGCGGAGGTAGATCGAGCTAGGGCCCTCAATAACTGGAACGATTTTGAATGCCTTTCGCGAATCGGTAATTGTTTAAAGGGTGATGCACGATTGTGGTTGAACGAGTGGGTAACAACTGATCGTACATGGAGTAATTTTAAAAAGGAATTTAGGCCATTGTGTCCGAAAACACCTGATATCGCGGGTATTTTAGCGGAGGTAATTAACACGAAACTCCGATAAGTACACTACTTATGCGGACTACGCACGCCGTTCCTTACTCCGCTTACGTATAGTACGTGGGTTGAGTGACGAACTGATTTCGGCTATAATCATACGCGGTATTACTGATCCTAATATTCGTGCGGCGGCAACAAATGCCAAACTGCTACCAAACGATTTAGTAGAATTTTTCTCGATTTATGTTAAGCCGGTGAACAATTCGAAGAGTTTCTATGTCGCGTTCGGTTCCGTATAATAGAACCAAAGATAAACAGAGCTTTGACGTTGCTAGACGACGTAGTAGTGATATAAAGTATTACTTGTGGCGGACAGTTGGGGGCATAGGCAGGCTTCGTGCACTAAACGACCTAGAGTTGATAGAGGCTCGAGCAGTTCTGCAGCCACTTCTAATTCCGCGACTTTCCGAAGCCCGCTTTTGTGCCGACTAGATACGAACCGTGCTCGTTTTGTAAGAAACCAGGTCATAAAGAGGACACTTGTTTCGCCAAACAACGGTCCGATGTAGCAAGCAAAGATACAGTTTAATTTTTGTAATTTGTTGGTGACTGCTAACAATAGCGACGTAGTGGTAGCCGTTGTTCAGGACATCCCTGTAGATGTCCTTATTGATAGCGGTTCAAACTGTATCGCTGATTGCTTCCTCTTTGCTGAAATATTTTAACTGTCCGCGAAAGCCAGGTCTTCGAATTTTGAAGGGTTTAGGTAGTCAGGAAGTGGAGAGTACCTCCTATGTTTACTTTGCCGATTGAATTCGATGGTTTAACTCTCGAAGTAGATTTGTTCGTCGTGTCATCCGAATACATGAACGTCCCGGTTATAGTAGGTACGGACGTCTTAAATAGAGACGGTGTTAAGTACGTTCGCACTAAGGGTCGTCAGTCACTAACTAGGGTTAATAATTGTTTAGATCAAGTAATGACGATTCAGTCTAAAGCTATTTCAATTAATACACCTCTCGTTGGTATTGAGTTACAAAGGCTGCTACAAATAGTTAATGACTTTTCAACATTTTTTATTTCCGGTACTGCTACTTCGACAGTAAATACAGGGTGTATGTCGATTAAATTAAATTCCAGTACCCCAGTTTACTACCGTCCGTACCGTCTTTCACATGCCGAGACGCTTCGTGTTCGTGAAATAATTAAAGAACTGTTGGACAAAGGCATAATTGAGGAATCTGAGTCGGAGTACGCAAGCCCTATCCTTCTTGTCCAAAAAGAAAGACGGGACGGATAGGATGTGTGTAGACTTTCGTAAGCTCAATGATATTACGGTTAAAGATCGGTTTCCATTACCGCGGATTGATGACCATATAGACCGCTTAGGACACAATAGGTACTTTAGTAGTCTAGACATGGCTACTGGATTTCATCAGATTCCACTGGACCAGGACTCGGTGCCGCTAACTGGATTTGTCACGCCAGAGGGACATTATCAATATTTGAAAATGCCTTATGGTTTGGCAAATGCTCCGGTAGTTTACCAGCGAATCATCACTAAAACACTTCGCGAGTTCATTGAATCTGGCGATATTCTTGTTTACATTGACGACGTCCTTATTTTAAGTAGGACCGTGGATCAGGGTCTAGTTCTGCTCCGCAAAGTTTTGAGTGCATTAACTAGAGCCGGTTTTTCAATAAATTTGAAGAAGTGTTCTTTCTTATCAACTCAGATCGAATACTTAGGGCGTACAATTTGCGAAGGTCAGGTTAGGCCGAGTCACGAAAAAGTTAGGGCTTTGGTTGACACACCTGAACCGCAGAATGTTAAGCAGGTTCGTCAGTTCATGGGTTTAGCCAGCTATTTTAGACGTTACATAGCTGACTTTGCCCAGAAAACTGCTTGTATTGCCGCGTTAACTAAACAGGGTGTGAACTTTAACTGGGGATTAGAACAACAAGCTGCTCGAAAGTACATTGTTGAATGTCTGACGAGTGAGCCAGTGCTTGCTATATATGATCCTTCATTGCCAATAGAGGTCCATACGGACGCGAGCTCTATTGGTTATGGAGCTGTTTTATTACAAGTACACGAAGGTAATCGTAAGCGAGTGGTATCTTACTTTAGCAGACTTACACAGGGAGCTGAAGGTAAATACCATTCGTATGAACTGGAGACGCTGGCTGTAGTTAAGGCTCTCCAGTATTTTAGGCATTATCTTGTGGGTTTACGCTTTACTGTGGTTACCGACTGCAATGCGTTGAAACTTACCCAGCGTAAGAGAGACTTATTGCCTAGGGTGGCCCGGTGGTGGGTGTACCTCCAAGACTTTGATTTTGTCTTACAATATCGCAAAGGTACCCTTTTGTCCCATGCCGACTATCTTAGTCGAAACCCAGTTAACATGGTTACCATTCAAAAACCTCTGAATTGGGCTCAGATTGCTCAGGCTTCTGATGAAGAGGACCCGGTCCCTTATTCAGAAATTATCAGATAGACAATTGGATCCTTCTCGCTACGAAGTTAGGAACGATGTACTTTACTTCAAGTATACACCTACTGGTGAAAATCCTAAAATGTTGTGCTTTATCCCTAAAGGCCACAGACTCAGCCTTTTACGTATATTCCACGATGAACATGAGCATCCTGGGGTAGAGAAGACAGTGGATCTTATTATGAAACACTTTTGGTTTCCGGGGTTGAGAGCTTTTGTTTCCAAGTACATAACGCATTGTTTGGTGTGCCTCTCATACAAGAAAGTTGCCCGCGCTCCCCTACAGCCCATTCATTCCTGGGAGAAACCAGACGTGCCCCTTGATACGATTCACATGGATGTACTAGGTCCATTGCCTGAAGCTGACGGTTATCGTTATGTTCTCATCGTTATCGATGCATTTTCAAAGTTTTGTCTATTGTACCCAATGTATCGACAAGATACTGACGAGTTAAAGCGACATTTCACCAACTTCATTTCCCTTTTCGGAACACCCAAGCTAGTCGTAGCTGACAGAGGCCGAATGTTCCAATGTACCGACTTTATCAATTGGGTCAAAGACATGGGTGGTGACACGCACCTGATCACGCCTGAAATGCATCAATCCAACGGGCAGGTGGAACGTTACTGTCGCACGGTGCTCAATATGGTGCGCATAGAGTGCAATTATCGACAGCGGAAGTGGCCGCATGTGATGTGGAAGTTGCAGTTGATCCTCAATATCACTAAGCATAGTACAACTCAGAATTCAGCCCTAAGCTTGTTGATTGGTATTGATGCTGCAACACCACTCATCCGGAGTCTGGTCCGTGACGTCGCTGTTGAGGGTTCCAGCCCGAACAGGGAAGCCCTACGTGAAATGCGTCGCCAGAGAGCATCTGAATTACTGCGTTCGAATCAAGAGCGTCAAGATGCATACGTTAACCAAGGTCGTAAGCCGCCTCGTACTTTTGAAGTCAACTCATTGGTTTTTGTTAGAAAACAGGCACAATCGACTGGGAAGCTGGATTCCTGTATGCGAGGGCCCTACCGTGTGGTGAAAGTTCTTCCCCACGGTCGTTATGAGCTTCAGCTCGTGGCCGGCTCGTACGGGAAATCAACGCAAGCGGCTGCGGAATACATGATTCTGTGGCAAGGAGAGTGGACTCCCGATGTGTGCTCTGCTATGTTTAATGGTGGGTTAATTCATTCATTTTGGCATTTAGTTAATTCATTTTTATTTGAGATTTTGTGGACATGTCTATGCCGGGACCTCTGTCTACTGTTACGTTTAATTTGTAACTTTTTATGTTTTTTTTGTGAAAGTTTTTTTTTTTTAGGGTTGTTGTGCTTTGTTTGTGTGCTCGGATACTGTCTTGGAGTTGCTCAGACATGTGGTCCTGGAGCTGTGTACACGCAGGGTCATGCCACGAGTTGGCCTCTGACGAGTCGTGGTGTGTGTGGCATATGTCTGCGGGGCAGACATTGTCCGTGGTTTTATTTTTGTTAGTTTGAGTTGAAACATGTTTTTATGGGTACCGATTCACACATGCAAAGTTATGTCTCATGTAAGTCCGCATAGACCTCTATCGAGTCATGAGGGTGCACTCCCCCGACGGGAACTGCCCCGGGTGATTGGTACTTATATTTGTATGTTTTATATCCGCTGTGTTTAGACTGTTCTATTTTGTCAGTTTAGCTTACAAGTACATAAAGTTGGATGATAACCTTTTGCGCTGACTAACAATTTTCTAACTTGGATAATTTCCTTTTGTGAATTTATTCTGTGTTGTTATTTCGTTTTGTGCAGATGCAGAGGACGAGGAGTCGACAGCTCCTAGCGTTACCCAGCCTTACAATGTTGACGTTCCTGGTGACGCGAGTGAGCCGCAACCTAGTACGTCAGGGACGCAGATACATGGCGAAGAGCCTGCTGCGTCACCCACCTTCACGTCGAGCGATGACAGCACAGAGCCTTCGATGCCAATGCTGGAGACTAATCTCCAGAGTTAGAAGATGGAGGAGTCCGAGGGCGGTCTCCCGTCAGGAAAGGCCGTGTAGAAGTTGAAAGATAGGAGAGTGAGGAAAACGTATAAAAGGCAGCGCCAGCGCCCGGCGCTCGCTTTTGCTGTTCGGCTGTCATCGGGTCAACATCTCGGCAACGTCATTCTGTCCGTCAGGTTTTTCGTTAGATTGTTACGTAATTGTTGTAATTGTTTTAGAGGTCTTACATTTTTAGTTTTCGTTTCATTTAATTTTGGTTTGTTAAAATTAATTGTTTTCAAAGTAAATTTGATTTGTAAATTGTTTTCTTGAGGGTAGTAATAAATTTGTATTAAAAAAAATAACTTCTGGTCTTATTTCTAAGAATATGTATAGATTTAGTAGGCTTTCTGATATCACGTATATAAGATTCCAATAATTTCACGAAATTACGAGACTAACTACATGTACATATGTAAAATATGCATTTTGCACCTATCGGAAATCAAACCTCTACCTTTGAAGGCATTCAAATACATATTAGCCCTCTACAACGTCAAGTAAAATGCTATGCACGAATAAGCATTTAAGAAGATAAATCAAAGTACATTAACGACTCAGTATTTCCAATTACCTGTACCACATCGTTTTAATTAAGGTCTTGACAGTTATTTCGTTGCTTATATCTATATATATTTTTAATTGAATCTACTTTTTTTAACTGATAATACAGGATGGTTCAAGAATGACATCATAACATGAAATGAGGCAAAACTATTTTGTTTAAATGTTCTTATATATAATATAATAACTTTATAAATTTTATATACGTTTAATGCAAAAAGAAATAATAGCTTTATTTCTTTTTGCATTAAACGTATATAAAATTGTACATCAATGTTTTTTTATGTTTTTTTTGGAACTGCTTACTTCTGCTAAAATATCATCCTTTGCCACTGAAGCTTACTAATAATTTGAAAGTTAAGTATATTTGGATGTTTGTTACTCCATCAGGCCAGAATGGCTGAACGGATCTGGATGAAATTTGGCAGAGAGATAGATTATAGTCTGGAATTGCACATACGTAACTTTTTATCTCGGAATTAAGTACGATTCCCGTGGGATAATTTTTCGTTTGGCTAACCCGAGCGAAGCGAAGATGAGCCGCTAGTAGACTATATACTATAAATTGTTGTTCGACATAATTTTAAAGACTTAAATTTTTAAACATCAAACCTGTGTCTTTTTTTAATAAGTAAGATTAATTACACTCGAATCTCATTATGTTAAATAGCTACTCTTAAATCAAGCCTCATTACACATTCAGTCCAAAATAAATGAAAATTACAAAGTCTATAAATCTTGTGTCTGAATTCTGTTGTAATTTCATATGTAAATCAAATTGTATTATTTATTATAAAGAGGATTTGTGATTTCAAAAATTATTTAATTTAAATATTGTTGCATTATTTAGTGCCACAAACTATTTTTCCGGATATTTTCGCGGACTTTTTTTTCTGATTTCAAAATAAATCCACGAAAAAATCCAAAAAGATAGTTGTACTTAAAATGTCAAATATTCGCGTAAATCTAAGAAAGTATTATGCCATGAAATAGTTATCTGAAAATAAGGCATATATCTATACATACCTATAATAAAATTCTAACTCATTCTTATTATTGAAATCGATACAGAGGCCGAATATATATATATTCGTAGTTCTTAGAATTTTTTTCTGTGTGCCTCTTTGGGAACACATCACGAGAAAACCAGAGGACAGATTTTGATTAAATTTAGTCGAGTCGGTAGTTTTTACATAATTTTTTCAGAAGCTAACCAGAAATACTTAATACTACGGGTATATCTGTTACTACATTTAATTTTGACTAAAGTTTTGCTGGAGCCAAATTTTGCTCGTCCTCCACAACTTGTCTCGTACTCGGCTTATTTAAATTCCTCTGTCTTTTACTTGTGCCAAATACAAAAGGTATTTAGGTATTAAGTTCGTGAAATGATAATTTAGTTTAAAATTACATGTTATATGACATTGTTGGAAAATTTGGCAAGATTTTCGCTAATATAATTTTTATTAACTCAGCTCTCAGGTACAACTTTAATTGTTACTAACACAACAAATTATGTAGTACTATATAAGTATAGCTACCCCAGATACCCCACAAAGAACCGCGACTCACCCTCGGTACGCTCGGGTTTGCAACTAGGTACATTTTAACAGTTAGTATGGAAAGAACTTATTATATGACTAGCATTGCCCGCCGCAAAAAGTATCGTATATGTTTACCCGGATAACCAGCTATCACCATACCACATTCCATAATCCCTCCAGTGGTTTTTCCGTGATGCGGTAACAGACAGACAGACAGACAGACAGACAAAAATTCTAAAAACTATAGATTCAGCCTCTGTATCAATAATAATGTATATTTCAATAAGATTTTCCTAAAAATATTTAATGTACCGATTCGGCTTAGTTAGAATTTTATTATATGTATAGATATATAGCCTATAGCCTTTCTTAATAAACGGGATATCTAATGAAAAAGAGTTTTTCAAATCTGATTACTACTTCCTGACATTGAGATGAGATTAGGGCGTTAAAAAAAACAAACTGCGCAATATTTCAGCCAGTGGTTGTATCGAAAACAATAAACCTATATAAGCATCCATAAACGGCTTTCAAACTTCTATTAATACTACAGTTTATAACAAAATAATGAATTGACAGTCAACTTCTTCATCAAACATTCAAAATCTTTCGTATATATATATATATATTTATATATATATATATATATATATATATATATATATATATATATAATTAATTCTTGATAAGAACATTTAGTTTAATTAAGTAAAATCCATGACATGACAATATTTTCTAGTTTCTCAAAACTAAGTAACACTTTGTAGGTGAAAATAGCATGTCATAGGAAAGGGTTTAGTTTTGGTCCGCGCCTAAAATAAACGAGCTGGCACAACTTAAACTAAATTTAGAACAGTATTATAGAAATAACTTCTAATTAAATTGAAACATATTACACACTTTTACACTAATGGTAAAACGACGTAGTGATTTCAACAAATCAAAAACTCTTTTGCAATAAATGTTAAATTTTCTAAGCCAAATATCCAATTTCTTTTATTAGGGAAAATTGTGAATATAACATATGAATAGAATCTACAAATCTACGTAAATAATAAATATTTTCAGTTTTTTTTTCATAACACTTAAGACAGATAGAGGAAAAAAGGTACTGAACTTTTTTGTCTTTGTCTATAGGTATATACACGTTTGGCTCAGTTTGTAGTGACCTACTTGCTGTGCTAGCGATCGGGGGTTCGAGTCCCACTTGGGGCATTTATTTGTGTGATGAGCACGAATGTTTGTACTCCAGTCATGTTAATATATGTGTAGTGTATCAACTATCTGGTAAGACAAGCCTCGTAGGTAGCTAACTATGGAACTACGTGCGTGCGTGCGTGCGTGCGTGCGTGCGTGCGTGCGTGCGTGCGTGCGTGCGTGCGTGCGTGCGTGCGTGCGTGCGTGCGTGCGTGCGTGCGTGCGTGCGTGCGTGCGTGCGTGCGTGCGTGCGTGCGTGCGTGCGTGCGTGCGTGCGTGCGTGCGTGTGTGTGTGTGTGTGTGTGTATCCAAACATATTTATTATTTTAATTTTGTATATAATACACTAGCACAGTTTTGCCTCTACAATTAAACTGTACTTTAAAGTAATTTCAGAACTGTGGATTTGCAAACGGCCAATCGAAAATTAATTATTTTACAAGATATCTTAGTGAGAGGGAAGTGAACAGTTAAAAGCTAAGAATAGTTATTTAAAATTTGATTTTTAAATAAAATAAGTCCCGAAAGGCCATGCCGCTTAAAGTTTATCCAATATTAAACCGTTGCTTGAGCTCACTCACTACGAATTCTTTCAACGAACTTTAAATTGCGTTTTCAATTCGCTCCATTTAACCGGTTTCACCTCATTTGCCTTGTTAGTGCGTTAGCGAATATTTTTTCATTTTCATTTGATATTTTATTTTTAATATTCATAATAATATTATTATTCGTGTTTTGTCACGCGATGTTTTGGTTTTTTTTAGGAAAGTTTATTTTGAAGAAACGTTTGGATCAGTTTGTAGCGATTCTACTTGCTGTGCCAGCGGTCGCGGGTTCGAGTCCCGCTGGGGGAATTCATTTGTGTGATGTTTGTTTTTCCCTGAGAAAAGTTATTCTGATATCTTTTTTAATATCGCTCGCGCTGGGCGATTTAAGTATCCGTATCGGTATGATATTTCTAATTTTTTTTATACTAAATTTTAGTTTGGAGCTGAATATTTCTTTTACAATGCTATATAACGATGTAAGCTATTCTATAAAAAATCAAAAAAATCACGTTTATTACCTATTATTACCATTTAACATTTTTAATTTCCTACTTAACGAGAGGTCGTATAGTTACTAATATAATTAAGTATATAGTAATAATATAAGATAATATTATAAATATTGAATTTTCTGCTTCCATACGAGGTCAATACTACTATATAATAAGAAATATCCTCCTGGTCGGTTTTCTGTCATGACCCATTTCACTGAGGCTAGCCTAGAACATATTATACTGCAATTTTATACGTAAACAAAAGCTGTACTCTTTGTTAAATATCCCCTTACAGTTCGATTCGAAGAAATATTTACTCTCATAGGAAATCTCTGATAGAACAACATTTTCATCTTTCTAATTAATGCGAGCTTATTGACAGCAAACACAATAAGGTTTTTAAATGATCCATCCAGAATCGAATCTAGGACTTCTTGATATGTAATCGAATAAGTTACAAGACAGTTAAATGATATTGCTGTATCTACACGCTATGTCATATGATATTAGCGTACCTGCAACGTATAATATTGTAACTCCATATTCAGATAATTTGAAAATAGAAATTAATTCCTCATACATTTAAAGTTCAAATTCAAGATTGCCACAATGTTGAATTA